CTCTTGTGCCCTTCCTTCCAGGTGGAACCTCACCTTCTCTTTGATTAGCTTGGAAGATCCACTTTCGCCTCCAAAAGCCACAGGGCTGGCAAGGAAGTAGATCAGCTGCAAGGACACCTGCATGTACCTCGGTGAGCCTTCGGTGAGCCTGTCAGGCCAGAGAACCTTCCAGCATATAATTGAACCCATGTGGCTGATGAACTGGGGCAGAGGGGATTCTCTGGGACAGAGATTGCTCCAGAACTGGGAGTGTGTTGGGAATGAGGAGTCTCTGTCCTATCAAGCCAGTGAGTGGGGGAGAGTACAGTGGTACCTCGGGTTAAGAACTTAATTCATTGTGGAGGTCCATTCTTAACCTGAAACTGTTCTTAACCTGAGGTACCACTTTAGCTAATGGGACCTCCCGCTGCCCCCGCACAATTTCTGTTCTCATCCTGAGGTAAAGTTCTTAACCTGAGGTACCACTGTAGCTTTCAAGAAGGACTGGGGGGCTTGCCAGCTGCTGTTTCCTGCCTCTGCCATCAGTGCTGGTTCTGACTTCTAAAAAGTCTATCGCAGAAAAGTCCAGCGGTGAGTGCTTGCCATTCCTTTAGCACAATTTATTTCATAAAATTTATATACTGCTTGAATGTAAAATTTCACAAATAAAGTGAATAACGCAATAATAACAAAAATAATAGTAGGTAAAGAAGACTGCACACGGGTGGAGGGAAGTACTGGGCTGTGAGGGAGGGAGGTGAAGGGATTAACTGAAATTGTTAAAGATTGGTATAGGACTTAAGAGATTTAAATGTTCATAAAGATTCTGTAAGGAAAGCAGAAAGCAGCAAGAAATATCAAGTAAAGGTATAGGAGAGGAGATCAGTGTAAATGAAAACATGAGACTTACGGTTTTGTTACATATGATTTTATTTTGGAGTTGTCTGTTTATTTTGGAGTTGTTTGTTGTAAAGAATGTATATTATGTGAATAAAATAATAAAGGACCACAGAGACTGATACTGAAGAAGTAGAATGGGGGAAAATAAATAAATAAATAAATAAACTGTAGTGTATACACAGCCTATGGGACGTGGGTGGCACTGTGGGTTAAACCACAGAGCCTAGGACTTGCCGATCAGAAGGTCGGCGGTTCAAATCCCCGTGACGGGGTGAGCTCCCGTTGCTCGGTTCCTGCTCTGCCAACCTAGCAGTTCAAAAGCACGTCAAAGTGCAAGTAGATAAATAGGTACCGCTCAGGCGGGAAGGTAAACGGTGTTTCCGTGCGCTGCTCTGGTTCGCCAGAAGCGGCTTAGTCATGCTGGCCACATGACCCGGAAGCTGTACGCCGGCTCCCTCAGCCAATAAAGCGAGATGAGCGCTGCAACCCCAGAGTCGGTCACGACTGGACCTAATGGTCAGGGGTCCCTTTACCTTTACCTTTATACACAGCCTAATGTCTCTTTGAAAGGTTCTTAACCAACTTTGCTGCCTTGGGGAATCCTTCTGTTCCTACTGCTGAATGGGACCAATATATCTGCCCCCCAAGTCCGGCCCTGATGGTGCCACTGCCTTCCACAGCCTGGGAGGAAATACATTGCTGGCTTTACTGAAGTTTAGCTGCATCTTCTCCAATCCATTGTTTGTTTAGGGTATGCAGTCCTGTCTCTCCTGCCTGCAGCAGGCAGTGGCATTCCCATCCCCACCAGGGAGAATTCAAGCAGCCTGGCCAAAAAGGCAGCATCACATTTCAGAAGCTGTCAGCGGCGCTGACGGATGGCTGGAGTCCCCTTGGGCTAGGATGCTGGCATCGCCGGACACCAGCTGGCTCTTCAAACACTGCGCCCGGGAAGCCCTGGCGCTTTGAGGGTGTAGCCCTCTCCATCCCTGAGGCTCTGGGTGGCTTGTAATTGGAAAGTGCATACCAAGAGGGCAGCACGTGGGGCTCTTTAGCTTAGAGAAAAGGGCAAGGAGAGGTGATGTGATGGAAGGTTATAGAATTTTGCCTGGCATGGAGGAAGTGGGCAGAGTGGAGTTTTTCTTCCTCTCTCACAGCACTAGAACTCATGGGCGTCCAATGAAGCAAAATGCTGGGAGATTCAAGCCAGACCTCCTTCCTGCAGCGCAGAGTTAGCCTTTGGAACTCCCTCCCACAGGAGGCAGGGATGGTCACCAACCTGGATGGCTTTAAAAGAGGATTAGACAAATTCATGAAGGAGAAGGCTCTCAATGGCTGCCAGATAGGATTGTGATGCTTTGCCTCTGCAGTCAGAGACAGAAATGCTTTTGCACCCCAGCTGCTGGAAATAGCAGGAGGGGACAGGGCTCTTGTGCTTGAGGATTTCCTAGAGGCATCTGGTTGGCCACAGTGAGAACTGCATGCTGGACTAGATCATAGCTGTCAACTTACAGATTTGAAAATAAGGGACCAGCCGCCTCGAAAATAAGGGATCGGCAGCCAAAATAAGGGATTTTCCGGGCACAGGTATGTTCAACTTCTGAGCCCCTCCGAGCCAAAGGCAGAAAGCCCAGCCAGCAGCCGAACAAAGCCTCTTCAATAAGGGACAGCAGCGGGACATGGCGCTGGGATAAGGGACTGTCCCACCAAATAAGGGACGCTTGACAGCTATGGACTAGATGGACCACTGGCCTGATCCAGCAGGTTCTTCTTACGTGGTACATACGCAGCCAATTTTTATTTTAAAGGTAAAGGTACCCCTGCCCGTACGGGCCAGTCGTGTCCGACTCTAGGGTTGTGCGCCATCTCACTTAAGAGGCCGGGGGCCAGCGCTGTCCGCAGACACTTCCAGGTCACGTGGCCAGCGTGACGAAGCTGCTCTGGCGAGCCAGCACCAGCGCAGCACACGGAAACGCCGTTTACCTTCCCGCTAGAAAGCGGTACCTATTTATCTACTTGCACTTAGGGGTGCTTTCGAACTGCTAGGTGGGCAGGAGCTGGGACCGAAAGACGGGAGCTCACCCCGCCGCGGGGATTCAAACCGACGACCATGCGATCGGCAAGTCCTAGGCACTGAGGTTTTACCCACAGCGCCACCCGCGTCCCTAATTTTTATTTTACTTTTTACCAAAAAAAAAAAAAAAAGCATATTCCCCCTCCGTCTGCCAGAGGTTCCCCATCCCTGGTGAAAAAGATAGGAATCTAGACCTTAGCCATCCCAATCGCCACATGCATTTTTGGCCTCTCCTCTCGCAAACTGCGAACTCTTGTTTGCCCCGGTTGCCCTGGTTAAACTGGGGCAGCCACCAAAGGAGCGAGGAGGGAAACAGTTCAGGGAGCCAGATCTGATTACTCGGGGATGCCTCAGGCAGGATCCTTTACATGCTGCGGCTGGAGGTGAATAAAGCGGTTACTGTGTTGTTGCTACCCCTGCCCCCGGGAGGCATTTTGAAGCAGATGACACAGATACGGTATCGCAGGGGAGATAAAACACAGCAAACAATTAGATGCAGGAGATTAGAGGCCTCAGGAGTAGATCCAAGAGTCGACTCTGGTTTCCCCTTTGGGAGATGCTAACAAAACCGTCTGTTTGAAGGAGGCAGCCAATAGGGGAGCCTGCCTGCCTCTTGCCAGCTCTCCCCTCCTCCCTCTAGTTCGCTGAGAGCACCTGCTTGCAGAGGGTCCCAGAATCAATTCCCAGCATCTCCAGGTAGGGCTGGGAATCTTCCCTCTCCGAAACCCCGGGGAGCCACTGCCAGTCAGTGTGGAAAATAATGAGCTAGATGGATTGCTGGTCTGTCTCAGTATAAGGCAGCTTATGAATTAATATAGACCTTGATTCAGAACCATGAAGACTACATTCTTACTTTACTTTGAGCAAAGGGTCAAAGTGCTAGAGTATTTGCTTTGCATGCAAATGATCCCAGATTCAATCTCCAGCCACTCTGGATAGAGCTGGGAGAGATTTCCAGCCTTGAAACCCTGGAGAGCTGCTGCCAGTCAGTGTAGACAGTGCTGAGCTTGATGGACCAATGGCCTGATTCAGTGTAATGCTGCTCCTCTACATACACACAGAGATAAAAAATGGGGGATATCCAGTTAAGGTCACACCCACAGCACACATTTAAAACTCTCTTATAATCCTTGAATAGGCATGACTTCCCCAAAAGAATATTGCTAAGGGTCCTGGGAACTGTAGTTCCATGAGGGGGTCTCATAACAACTCTCATAAACTCTTAACAACCTCAGTTTACAGGGTTCTTTGGGGGAGCTATGGCTGTTCAAGAGCTGCAGTCATATGACAGCTTTTCTTTTCCTTGCCAGTGACTCAAATGCTCTTTAGAAGAGGGGTCTACTGCTCCAGGTGTGAATGTGGGATGTTTTCTGGCCTCTTAAGTTTCTGCATGAGTCCAAAAGCCTGCAAGACCTCAATAATAATAATAATAATAATAATAATAATAATAATAATAATAATAATTTATTTATACCCCGCCCATCTGGCTGGGTCCCCCCAGCCACTCTGGGCGGCTTCCAACAAAACACTAAAATACAATAACCTGTTAAACATTAAAAGCTTCCCTAAACAGGGCTGCCTTTAGATGTCTTCTAAAAGTTTGGTAGTTATTTTTCTCTTTGACATCTGGTGGGAGGGCGTTCCACAGGGCGGGCGCCACTACCGAGAAGGCCCTCTGCCTGGTTCCCTGTAACTTGGCTTCTCACAGCGAGGGAACCGCCAGAAGGCCCTCGGCACTGGACCCCAGACTAGGAAAGAGGCATGCGACCCTCTGAAAGGTTCTTGAGTTGACAATCTGCACTCCAGTCACAGCTGCACTGAAACCTTGGGTACCTGAACTGTTTTCTATGGAGCAGCAATCACTTCTCCACCAGGGAAGAAGGTGAAATCTGCATGTGTTGTTCTGTCCGCTTTTGTCTCTGGGCACCAACCACCACTGTCATTTGGCCCTCGGAAGGATTTGCGGCCCTTAGGGCTGGAAAAAGAACGTGGTGCTTTGCATTCTGGGTGCTTGTCTGCCTAACGGGTAACTTCCTCTTATCTTCTGCAGCCCTCAAGAGGTCCTTTGATATGGAAGATGCTGAAGAGGTGAAGGCTTTCCCACCTTCCTCCCCACCTAGGTCGCCCCTCGGCCCAAGCCCACCTGGTGTCATCCACTCCACAGGCAATGGAGAAGGGAAAAGGTTGGGGCCCCCTATCCAGCCCACGCACCAAGCCCACATCAGCCTGAGCTCCAGCCCCAGCCCAGCCCACAGCCCCATTCTCAAGTCAAGAATCGGGAGCAGTCTCTCTTTCAACCGAGGCACCACCCACCCGCCTCGGGCCAATGGGACCAACCTCAACAGGGTCTCGTCCTTCCAAACACGGCTAAACCCCAACGGGCTCTCTTCAACCTTGGGGCCAGAAAGCGACAATGAGAGCCTCCACAGCTCTTCCTCCAGCTTAGAGTGCCCTGTGGCCTCTAAAGGCCCTCGGAGCAGCACCCAGCAATCTGAATCTCTGGGAATCGGGGCCTCCCACCTCCCTAGTCCCATCCTCAAGAAGTTCTCCTCTTACGGCAACGTCTTCCATGCCGAGGTGGGCCGACCCATCCGACAGGTCTCCAAGGCCACCGCCAACCACAGCTCATTGCCATCACTTGACCTGCACATTGCTGAAGACCAGGGACCCAGCCCGACGCTCTGCTCCACGCCAAACATGGACTCTGCCATCCTTCGGAGCTCCGGAAAACACAACTTCGTCTCCCCACTGCCGAAGAACAGCCTTCTGATAAGAAAGGAGTCCCCCGTTCCTCCATTGGAGGTAAGCCAGATGGCAACTGGGAGCCCTCCTGGTGTGGTCCCCAGGCAGACGACGAAGTTGCAGAAATTTCCCATCAGCCTGGATGGGTTAATTGGGAAGACTCCGGAGAGTATCGTCCCAGCAGTGGTGACTGACTCTAGGGCCAGACCGTTATCTAAGGCACAGCTTCAGGTGAGTCTTGGCACCAGCCCCGGACTGTCCCACCAACCCCAAGAAGTAGCCAGGGAGGATAAAGCTGTCAAGGACAGTGTTTCCCTGCCGCCATCTTCTGGAACAGTTTCAGGGATAGGAGGCAGTGAGGGTTTGGCAGTAGCGCCTCAGGCTGCTTCCTTCCGGCTGGTGTCAGAGCCTCACATAGCACAGGTCACTTCTCAGCCCTCCTCTCTCGGGTACCAAGCGACGGTGCCTCCGCAAGGTATCCCAGCTGTATCCATCCTGAGAGAATGCAGCGGTGCCCCGGCTGAGAAGATCGACTCAGCTTTCTCCCAAGAGGCCTCCAAGCTTCAGACTCTCCTTGTGGGAACAAACAGGTCTCTAGAGGTGTCCCTGGAGAAGAAGGATTTACAAGACATATTGAAGGAAGGTAAGTGGAGTCACTGCATAAGTTTTGCCTGGATTAAAAAATAAATAAATCCCTAATGATCTTCCTCTGGTAAAAACTGTTCAGGGATTTTGAGAGCCTCCAAAAGAGGTTTTGGGAGAGCTTATTTGGTGCCTCCCAGTTGCGGTTTTAATTTCTGCAGTGGTATGTTGAGGTTGCTGTGTAATTAAAGGCCACCCTCACGCCGTACTTTTCAAACCACTGTGATACCACTTTAAACTGCCATGGCTTCCCCCAAACAATTCTGAGAGCTGCAGTTTGTTAAAAGGTGCTGAGGGTTTTTAGGAGACTGCAGTTTCCCTCGCAGAGCTGCTATTCACAGAGCGGCTTAACAGTCAATTCCTCTTCCCAGGAAACTCTAAAAATTGTAGCTCTATGAGGGAAATAGAGGCCTAGCGACTATCAGCACCCTTAACAAACTACAGCTCTGGGGATACTTTAGGGAAGGCATGGCCAAACTTGGTCCTCAATGTGTTTTGGGGACTACAACTCCCATCATCCCTGACCACTGATCCTGTTAGCTAGGGATGATGGGAGTTGTAGTCCCAAAACATCTGGAGGGCCAAGTTTGGCCGTGCCTGCTTTAGGGGAAGCCATGGCTCTTTAAAGTGGTAGCATAGTGGTTTAAATGTATGGTGCAGCAGTGAGAGAAGATGAGGGACCAAAGCAAAAATTAGTGATGGTGGTGGCCCTGACTAGTGATGCCTGGTGCTGGCATCTCAGTGCTGACACCTGCTGTCCAGGTCCAGCTGTGTGGGGAAAGGCTGCTGGTTGTTTGTGACAAAGGGGAGGTGCTCTGTATGTGCCCAGGGGCACTTTACTTCCTTTTCTGTTTCCCCCAGTTCAGAAAGCTGAGCTATGTAGCTTAGCCTCACTCCAGAACCTGCCATTTATAGTACACACAGAGAGATTCCTTTGCAGTTTCATCTTCTCACACCCTCCTTTGCCCCAGGCAATGAATTTTTAAGCCAACATCGCATTTAACGTCTCTCTCTCTCCAAAACCTGCAGAAGAGGTATGAGCCCCACCCAAGGAAGGGAACAAAAAGTCACACATTTTGAGGGGCGTCCGTTCCTCGCTCTCTGTTCTCGGCTCTGTCTGTGGCATATGGAGTTGATTTCAAGCAACCATTGCTTCTGGAAAGAGACCATCAGCAGCGCTTCTCAGTCTTTACCTCCTTGCCCCAACCCCTCTGGCTGCAAAGTGTCTCACTTCCACTTGAGAGAGTGGGGGGGAGAGGGGCTGTTTCACCCAGGACCAGTGGCCTGGTGGTGTGATTTTGCAGGACATGAGTTCATCATGACAGCCCACAGCACGCGTCTCACAAGAAATCAGACAGTGTAGGCAGGTATGTTGGTTCAGTATTACACACAAAGAGACAGTAGTACGTAGCACAATACCTAATTTATTAAGACTAGCATGACTGCAATCCTTACGTATATTTCCCTGGAAGTAATTGCCGCTGGAACTCAGCAGTGGCTGGTTCCTGTTGCATTGGAGCTTCCCACTCCTGTCCATTGGAATATTTTTTCCATTGAGTTTTCTAAAAAGAAAACAAGAAATATGATTGATCAATACAAACTAAGTCATAATCAGTCAAGGCAATGTGTTCTGTGCAGGAAAGTGGGAGAAGGGGAAGGGGGAAATGTCTGGTAGCACAGACCAAGCCAGTGCTTGAACATTCAAGCAAATAAGGAGTCTATGTATCAGAGAACTTCCCATCTTTCTTGTGTTGATGAAAGGCCACCTTCTCTTCCGCTGCCAGTTGAGACATAACCTCCATAGCCCTTGGCCCCATGGCTGTTCCCAAGCCGCCCACCTCCATACACACCAATCCCCAATAGCTCAGAGGTAGAGCATCTCCTTTGCATGCCGAAGGACCCAGGTTCAATCCCCAGCATCTCCAGGTAGGGATGGGAAAGAAGAATCAATAGTGAGCTAGTCTGGGCCCAATGGCCTGACTCAGTACAAGACAGCTGACCATGTTCCTATTTAAATCAGCCCTTTGTTCAGAACCCTGAAGACGTGGTTTCTTTTTAGGGGGAGGGCTGCAACCCTGTGGTGGAGCACATGTGTTGCTTGCAGAAAATCACCACCCTATCTAGATAGTGATGGGAACAGAGGCTGCTGCCTGGAGAGCCACTGCCAGGCAATGCCATTACTACTGATCTAAAAGGAACCAATGGCATGACTTGGTAAAGAAGAAGAAGAAGAAGAAGAAGAAGAAGAAGAAGAAGAAGAAGAAGAAGAAGAAGAAGAAGAAGAAGAAGAAAGACCTACACTGGCTCCCAGTACGTTTCTGAGCACAATTCAAAGTGTTGGTGCTGACCTTTAAACGCCTCGGTCCTGTATACCTGAAGGAGCATCTCCACCTCCATCGTTCTGCCCGGACACTGAGGTCCAGCGCTGAGGGCCTTATGGCGGTTCCCTTGCTGCAAGAAGCCAAGTTACAGGGAACCAGGCAGAGGGCCTTCTCAGCAGTGGCACCCACCCTGTGGAACGCCCTCCCACCAGATGTCAAAGAGAAAAATAACTACCAAACTTTTAGAAGACATCTGAAAGCAGCCCTGTTTAGGGAAGCTTTTAATGTTTAATAGGTCATTGTATTTTAGTGTTTTGTTGGAAGCCGCCCGGAGTGGCTGGGGAAACCCAGCCAGATGGGCAGGGTATTATTATTATTATTATTATTATTATTATTATTATTATTATTATTATTATTTATTTTATTTATACCCTGCCCTCCCCAGCCAGAGCTGGGCTCAGGGTGGCTAACACAAGTAAAATTACAATAAAAACATAATGGGCGGTGGAAACCATTTAAAATACAGGTTAAAAATACAATTTAAAATGCAACCTCGTTTTAATCGTAGCCCCATAGATTAAAACCATAAGGGGAGGTAAACATAAGGATCAGACTGAGTCCAAACCAAAGGCCAGGCAGAACAGCTCTGTCTTGCAGGCCCTGCGGAAAGATGTCAAGTCCCGCAGGGCCCTAGTCTCTTGTGACAGAGCGTTCCACCAAGTCTATCCAGCTTCCAAAGTTCCTGCGAGGATGCTGAGTGCTGAGGCGTTCCCTGTCCGGATCCCCTGTGATACGCCAGCCTCTGTGGCCAGAGGCAGGGTTTCTCCAGCAGAGAGACATGAAAGGGGTTCCCCCAAAGGGCAGGAAGTTTGGAAGCCACTGCTTTTAAGACGAGCCACCCAGCTGTTTCCCCTGCAGGAATGAGGTGTGCAGCTGGACTATGAAGGTTGCTTGCAAGTCACTGAGGATCCTCCGTCTCCAAAATGTCAGACTTTCCCCCAAACCCATTATTCATCTCAGGGCCGCTCTAGGCTTCCTCTCTCCTCAGAGGACACCATGTAGGGGGAATCTGTCAATTTCAGCTTCACTCAGTTTCTCATGTTTCTAATCTTCACTTCTACACATTTCTACATCACCCACACCCACACACCCCATCATGAAAATTCACCAGCATCTTCCTGTGAATTTCTCCCAACATACGCATTTTTGCTTCATGTGCACATTTCTGCAAGCTGTTTCCCCTCGTGCAATGCTTTTCTTTGTATGTTATGTCCACCAATATATATGTGTTTTATGCACAGTTTACCCACATATATGGATATTTTGGCAATGCATTACATGGCCGCAGGCCGCAGAAATGCATTGCAAGATTTGGAGAAGTGCAAATTTTGGAAGGCAGCCTTGTTTCGCTTTGCATATTGTTTTTGGAAAGGATGGGTTAGGGAGGTTCGCCTTTAGATGCAGAGTGAATGACTTTCTCCCCATCACTAGAGAGGACACTGGGTCACTTGGAGAGAAGGCCAGGCCTTGGGCCACTTTTAAAGTCTGCTGCCTGTTCTCCCTTCCCTTGGGGTCAGCCATAGTTTCTGCTCATAGCTTTTCGATGAGGCAGATCTCGGTCAGTGTCTGGATGGAAACTGGAGGAAGTTTACTTTCCAGAGCTTCCTCATATTTGAGGCATTAGGAGGACAAAGCGGTTCTCTGTTCCAGTTTCTTCTGTGTCATGTTGGCTGCACAGCCTCTTGTCTCTTGAGTTTTGGAATGTGCTGGGTCTCTCCCCTCACAGACTGCTCAGATAGAAACAGACCCAAAAAAATCAGCCTAGTCTGGTATCCTGTTTTCCCACAGCGGTCAGCACAATGCCTTGGGGAAGCCCAATAGTCAGTGATATACTGTCCCTGCAGCTGGAGGTTCCCTCTAACTGTTAGGCATGATCCAGAGCCCCAAGCAAAATTTCATTTACATTTCCAAGCCTCCACTGATTTTTGGCAGCAGTGGAAATAAATCAAATTAGCAGCAGACCCAGCGCCATGGTGGGTGGAACTCAGTACTCTGCTGAGGATGCAAAGCGCCCCTTCATCAGTCATCAGAATGATCGTTTGATGAGTAGAGAGGAGGCAATAGTTGGGGTTCCTTTGTGCATCCATCATGTGAGAGAGTGTGGATGGACACACCCACTTTTGGCCACACCTATCATTATCAAACAGCCAATGGGCAGATGACCAAGACTGAATGCTGCCCTCAGACCAAAAGAGATTAGCTGCCTGTCAGTGTGGACAATACTGAGCTAGAAAGACCAGTGGTCAGACTCTGTATAAGGTAGCTCCTTAGGTTTCCTATGTGCCCGCCATGATGTGCCAGTGGTCATCACTACATCTTGTGGCCCAGAGTTCCATAAGTTATTTACTGAAAACGTTCTTCCTTTTGCCCACCCTGAGTCTCCTGCAAATGATGGCCCTAAAATCTAGTTAGGGGAGGAGGGGAAATGCCACTCTATCTCAGGCATAGGCAAACTCGGCCCTCCAGATGTTTTGGGACTACAGTTCCCATCATCCCTGACCACTGGTCCTGTTAGCTAGGGATCATGGGAGGCCAAAAACATCTGGAGGGCCGAGTTTGCCTATGCTTGCTCTATCTACTTCGTCCATGCCTGCATGATCAACTTCAGTAATGTGCCTTT